GAGGCATGTCAGGTGGTGGTGGTAACATTTTGGCCTCCGGGGATTCGCCATCTTTAATTATGAACACTGTATCCATGCCCCATGTCATGTGTCGATCAATATGGCAATGCATGTACCATACTCCTATTCAAGATAAAAAAAAAAAAAAAAGAAACAGAAAAACAGAAAAAGAAGTCAACGATAATAACAACCATAACAATTTTGAAACATTGGAAAATGCTTTAATTAATTCCTGATTTTAGAGGGTGACACCACCAATTAAAGCTCAAAACATTTGCACTAATTGAAAGTGTGTAATGGTTTGGAGAACCCCTTAAACAAGCAATAAAACTAATTTGTTCTTTTGCCCTTTTTTTTTTTTTTTGCGCCAAATGGAAGAAATTAAACAATCATACAATGCAGGAACTATATATCCAAAGAAGTCTATGAATTAACAACTTGTATCACATGTTTCAATCAACTTTATTTTGAAGATAAAACTTATACGTACCAGGATTGTTGGCCATGAATCTTACGGCCATCCATCCATTTTTTGGAACATGAATGGTGTTTTGAAGAGGAGGGTCCACCAGATTGTATGTTGAAGGATCCTTGTCCTTATCGAAATTCCCTAAACCCAATCCCACAACATAAAAACTATATCCATGAAGATGCATCGGATGGTTACTACCTCCTAGCAAGTTTGTCCCCTGGAAAACAAGCTCCACGGTGGAATTGTAATCTAGTATTCTCACTTCCGTCCCTTGTTGCGGAATGTCCCAGTCCGTCGGTAAATAATCGGCAGTGAAGTCAAAAAATAATTGAGGAAAATCAGGAAAATTGGTCCCATACACCCCTTGAATGCAGCAATAGTAAGCTTGTAATATATCGATGCTAGGATTGAGGAAACTTATGTTGTTCACACTGGTTAAGAGTCTTATCTCACCACCTACACATAAGATTTTTTTTATGTAAGCTAAACAAAATAATTTCTTTTTGTTTGATTTTGGATTATTTAATAAGAGATAATCCTCTTTCATTCTTTAACTTGCCACACTCATATATTATATGATTTAAATTCAAAATTTCTAGTTCTACTTGGAGAAGAAATTATCACTAAGCAACTAAATAACTTTTAGTATAACTAAATTTATTCTTTTAGGTCTAAACTTTAATTAAGGGCTCACACTTTTTATCCTTAATCGTTAAAAGGAAATTTCTTTCCCTCATGTTTCCTTCTTTCCCCTCAAACCAAACAATTGTGCATGCACTTGTGTGTGTGTGTATATATATATAAAGAGAGAGAGTATAAATGGTATTAATTTAACCTGACTAATATTATGGTACAAACTGCCACCATCCATTGATATTAGACAAATTTTCATCCATAATTCAGCTAATTCAAATAAAAAAATTATATATGAAAAATTCAAAATTATATATGTATTAAGGATAGATTTAAAATAAGATTTATCTTGTAATTTTTTATTGACAACAAAAAATTTTATTAATAAAGTACAAATAGTACTCCAATAATATTTATCTTTGTAATTAATATTTTTGTATTTAATTAATAAAACATAAGTATGCCTCAAAAGGAATACCTGGGCAGGAGTTGTTTTTGCAGGGAGAGTTGATTGAAAGGGTATAGAACAAATGTGTGTTTATTTCCATCGGCACATCAATTGGATGCTCCTTATCAGCTAAGCTCCGAAGACCAGCGGTAAAATTAATGGATGCTTCTGTGTCATTATAGCCAGGAAGATAGGGGAACACTGGCGGCGAAGATGGAGTGTAATTTCCATTATATTCTACAATAGCTGTGGTGGTAGTGTTGTCATAAGTACCTAGGAGAGCACTGGCGTATGCGCTGGCGGCCATGTAATAGTGATTGGGACTTTGGTTGGCTTCTAGAAGGACATCAACGGTCTGGCCCGGGGATATGCAAATGAAGGTTCTATTGAATGGTTTTAGATAGCTAGCGTCAGATCCAACCACTGTGACAGTATGGTTGGCAATGGCGAAGAAGAGACTATCTATCATGGCGGAGTTGACTATCCGAAGGAGATAAGTCAAATCTCTTTTCACTTTAAGTCTAAAAGTTTCTGTAAATATATTGAAAAAAAAAAAGTATCAGGTAATAATCAACATTGACCTTTAAACATGGATCAGATATATTTTGAATGTGAGGTAGTCTCTATTTAAGGATTTATTTTTACAGTTAAATATATTGTGAAAAGGAGAACTCACGGAAAAATTGACCAAAGGACAAGAATTAATATGTCTTTTGATTTTGAATATATCATACAACGTATTTATTAAAAAATTATTATTTTTAAATATGAATTAAACAAGTAAAAACTAAACATTATAGATTGTAAT